CCCCCCCGTGCATGCTCTGTCTCTCTCTCCCAAAAATAAATAAAAACATTTTTTAAAATGAATACAATAAACTAGAATAAAATGAAATGATGAAAGTAAAAATAGAATTAGGAAAATTTACAAAGAAGTAAAAAAATAGAGAAAAATTAAGAAAAATATTTTTTATGAAAATGGTAAATAAAAATAAATTTTTTCCTCTTTCTGTATTGAAGAATAAGAAAAGGAAAAAATTTGAAATGATGGGCCAGCAAACAGAATGAAATATGATTGAAATTACATCCAGTTTCCCCTAGAAATCAAACTATGAAGCACTTTATAGGCCATAAACTAGCAGGCAGAGAGATTTGTGGTGATCCTCTAGAGCACAGTTGACCCAGTTGGGTGGGGCTTGGTGTAGTAGCTCCATTCTCCATAGATGGTGCTGCTTAGTTTACTGGGGTGGATCATTGTTTCACGTATATGTGTGTACGCGCATGCACGGGAGGGGTCAAATGGCGTCACCCACCTACCCAGTCTCTAGTATCAGAACTCTGTACCCTCCCCAGCTGGCAATCAAGCACTCCTCCATTGTCTCAGGCTTCTGTCCATTCCCCACTTCTACACTGTCCGCGACCAAGCCATCGTCCTGCTAGGTGGCACCTCCCTCCTGAGTTTTATCTCAGATGGGGCTGAGATAAAACTCACTTCTGAGGGTCCTGCAGTTTTGACCAGCTCAGACCTTCTGGGGATGAGTCTCCATGAGCTGGCCCACCCCCCAGAATGTTCGTTCACATGACCGCACTGCTGCAGATGCCCAGAGACTGTGGCTGGGTACTAGCCTGCCCCAGAGAAAGTTCACAGGATCGTGAACAGCAGTGTTTCAGGGATTATGGGAAATCACAACACACATCTGGCACCAGGCTTCACCCTTAACATCCTTGTTCCAACACCAACAAACGTGGCTGTTCTCCAGGGTCCACTGGAAGCTTTGCCTGTGGGGAGGCCTCACAGCCTCTACCAAATGTCCTCTCAGCAGGGGAACCGCCTCTGCCTGTGTTGCCCAAAGACCCCTCGAACCCTGCTGTGTGCTCCTGGGAATTCGCCCTTCCCACCAGAGCTCTGCCAGGTATCAAGCTGCAGAGTCACAGACTCTGTGCTCCCCTGTTTATAGAGTCTTAATGGTATTTAAACCCTCTCCTTTCTCCCTTTCATGTTCAGTCCCTTATAGGTGTTGCCACTCTTTCTCTTTCTCTCCAGCTATTTTCAGGAGGAGTGCTTTTCCTGTACTTTCCCACCCCCCGTCTCTGTCCTCTCCTCACAAGCAAAAACAGCTCCCTGCCCTCCAAAGTTCTCTCTCCCCGAGTTCCCCTCTCCACGCCACATACCTGCTGAGTTCTGTGGTTCATGTTGTGCAGTTTGTTGTGTGAATCCTCAGATCAGTTTTCTAGGTGTGTAAGATGGTTTGGTGTTGATCTAGCTGCATTTCAGGGATGAGAGAGGCAAAACAACAATAACAACAACAGCAACAACCATGGATATTAATGCTTGACTTCCCACTTCATTAAATGAGATTTTACTCTTTTGTCTGTCAGTAGATCTGTTTGGGGTTGGCTGATCTAGCCAGTCTTGGCTGGCTAGACTAGCTTTAAGCTGTGGGCCCAGCTGAACTTGGCTCTTTGCTACAAGTTGGGCTCAAGTCTGCTTAACATGGATTCATGCTAGAGTCCAAGGTGAAGAGGCAGGAGCTCTTCTCAGGGGCAGGGAAGCTCTTCTCATGATGGCAAAGGCTCAAGAGAGTAGGCTCAGCTGTGCAAACCCCTACCAACATTGGCCAAAGTACATCACACAGCCAAAGTCAAGGGTGAAGAAGTGTACTCTGTCCCTACTTGTAGGAACTGCAAAGTCATGTGGCAAAGGGTGTGGATATAGAGAAGGGTGAGGGGTTGGGGCCATTTATTTGATCTACCATACTTTCCTTAATTATATTTTGTTAACAGACCTCTCTGTGAGTCACACAGTATGTTAGCTCAAATAATACCACAACACAGCCTTGTCTGATGGTTGCCTTCTTTTAAGTGGCTGGTAATCATTTGACGATTAGTTTCTTTAATCTCAAGATTGCACAGGGTTCTGAGAAAGAAGTTTGTGAACCGGTTTAGGTTTGGAGGATGAAAAACTTGGGGTTCAGGTTCTTTAATGTAATGCTTGAAACACCTTTGTCCTTATTCCCTTCTATGTAGTGAAGTCTATCTTCAGATGGTGTGTGGACAGTGTGTTGCTACAGAAGCATCATTTGATCTGCCCGGATGATTACTACAGTGATACCGTACCATTTTGCTCTGCACCTAAAGGTAATGCTTCTGTACTCTGTTCGAGCCTTTGGTATCATTCCAGGGGTGTTCTGTAGCAGGACTGCACGGGCCACCTTGGCTGCCATTTCCCCCATGGATTTTTTTCCCTTTCGTTTAATTTGATAATGACTATTGGGAGGGTCAGTTCTAAGCATTCCACTTCCTCTCTAACTCCCTAACACCTGCAAGACCAAAGTCTCAACTCCTCAGGGTGGAATATGCATTCTTCTTAGCTGCTCAACACCGAGAGATATGAAAATGTTTAGAAAAGTAGCTGGAGGCACCTGCGTGGCTCAGTTGGTTAAACATCTGACTCTTGATTTTTGGCTCAGGTCATAGTCTCGTAGTTTGTGAGTTCGAGCCCTGTGTCAGACTGTGCACTGACAGCATGGAGCCTGCTTGGGATTCTCTCTCCCCCCCCCCCCACCTTTCCCCTGCTCACACTCACTCCCCCTCTCTCAAAAAAGAAAAGTGGTTGAATGAACCAAGAGAGGGAGGGTCTGAAAACCTAGATAAGTAAGGGAGCAAATTCCTGACGGAGTCACAACATGGACCGTGGGGTTTTTCCATACCCCATGTAGGAAAATAACAACTTTTTTTTCCTTTAATGAGTATGGTGGGAAGACTGAGTAGGGAGCCAGAGAACGATGTGTATGTGATGTTGAGCCGGTTTCCTGTAATGTGGGAGGCAAGATCTTTTGAGAGTGAGCGGGGTGGGAGCTTGGTTGTGGGTTTAAGCAGGGAGGTGGACTTTTGGGAGAGTCAGTGTATGGACAGGGGGAAGTTGCTCTGTGGATTCCGTGGCCACATATCAAGATGGCCCAGCGGTGCCAGGCTTGGAAGATGAGCTCGCCAGCCACCCAGTCTGAGGCTTTGGAGCCAAGAAGGGTATTTGGGGTGGGAAGGTTGTGATCCAGAGAATCAAGGGTGCTGATGAGAACAGAGTTCCATTGACGACCTGAGCTGCACAGAGAAGGCAGACCAGAGAGAGGTAGCAGAATTAAGTGTCACGTGATACCAAGCCACTTAATATTGTGAAGGTAGTTGGAAATTCGGTGTTATGCAGATGAATAAGGATAGAGTTAACATGTATTGAGGATTTACCAAGTTTTGCACCACTGCCAGTTTCATTGCATTCTTGCTAGCGATGAGCGTTCTCCTTTAACCTTTTGGGGATGAACTTATACATATACAAAACTAATACAAACTTTGATTTCTCCTGTGAACTGTTTGAAAAGCAAGTTCACACACAGGGTATGTGTACATGCGCTAGAGGCGGACAGGCAGGCAGCGATCTACTCATGTTCTTTGACCACGTTTGACAATCAAACAAATACTGTAACACTCATTTCCTAAGTCTCGAGTACGTAGAATAAGTCCCAGGGATAATTTATATGCTGAAGAGCAATTATATCTAGTATAATAAATGTGAAAGTTGAGGGAAAAGTCTCAAAGTGGCTTTGGTGGTTTTATTTAGGCATCTTAGAAATGTCCACTTCATCTGTGGGAGCTTTCAGTTTGGTTCTTTGGTGCCGCAGGCGTCTCTGTCCCTGGATGTTCAAAACTCACGTTCAGTTGTGAGAAGCGTTCTGTCCCAAAGAAGCACCTGACCAAGAAGCTTGAAGATCCCTGCAGGAAGATGCTCACTAAGTCTGACGAGGAGCTGGACTACACTGTGGACAGTCTGACATGGGACTCATCTTTAGAGGCCAAGCGCAAGACTGTCCAGGTTGGTGTGGAAGCCTGGGTGCGGTGGGGTGTGGGGGCAGTGGGCACAGGGAGGTTGTGGGGGTTGGGGAAGGAGTTCCAGGTGACACAGGATGTTGTGGATCCACAGCGAAATAGGGGGGAGGATTCGTACTGATTACCCGTGGGTCGTGCGACTGGCCAAATGCCAGCACACACAGTCCCCCTGCCTGTCATTGACTCTCTATTTTGTGTGTGTGTGTTTCAAAGAAAACAGGTCCGCCCAAGAATAAGAATTGGATGAACCACTTACCTGTGCCCCAGAGAGAACTGGAGCGACTTCTGCTTGCCAGAATGGACAGTCGGATCCGCTTCCTTAAAAACCCCCGGTTTTTCCCTCCTAACACTCCACGTGGAGGCACGTCTCTCCTCTTTCCTCCGAAGAAGCCAGTGCTGACAGGAGACCTCCAGAGTGGAGAGCCAGTGGAGAGGTGGGTCTTTCCCTGACTTGTATGATCAGAAAGTCAGACCCGTTGGAGGACCCAGAAGGTCCTGGGTCTGGCCTGGATCCTAGAGGATCCTAGACTTTTGGGGGACAGGGTGTCAGTATCAGAGCAGAGCAGGGCTTCCGGGCTCCCCACAGGCCTGGCCTTCGGACATCCCCCAGAGGCCTGGACTGTGCTTTTCTGACCTGCCGGGGGTTTGAGGAATCGGGTTAGTGTTGGTCCTCTGCTCACATCTGGACAGTCTTGGTCAGATGGGAGGAATCTCCGTAGCCACATGTTCTTCTGTTGCACTCCTATGTCTTGGAATAGAAACTCAAGAATAAAAATACGTAAAATTTGATTAATGACAAATAACAAGCATACATTGTGATTTTCTTTCAGTGAGTGCCTTTGGCTTATTTCATTAATTGTCCTCGTGAAGGGAGTGAATTGCTTTATGAGTTCATAGTTTTAATGGACTTAAAACTATTTAACATTTATAAGTCAAATATCTTTTTATTAAGAAAAATTAGAAAATTAATATTTTCAAAGAAAACCAGCACCCATATTAAAAACCCAGTTTAGGATGTTGCTATGTGAGCTTCCAAAGCTGAAGCCTTCTATGCATATTGAAAATGAAACATGCAGCTGTACGTATCTTCACAAAGATTCTATCGTGGGGTAAAATTATTTTGTAACCTGCTTCAACAACAGGAACAAAATCCAGTAAATGACATCTTGTGAATATCTCTGATGGTTTGGGTATATTTATTTAAAAAACAAGTTTTTTAACGTTTATTTGTTTTTGAGAGACAGACAGAGAGAGAGAGAGAGAGAGAGGCAAGGGCAGAGAGAGAGGGAGACAGAATCTGAAGCAGGCTCCAGCTCTGATCTGTCAGCACAGAGCCCGATGCGGGGCTTGAACCCAAGAACTGTGAGATCATGACCTGAGCCGAAGTCGGGTGCTCTACCGACTGAGGCACCCAGGCGCCCCGGTTTGGGTGTATTTATTTTACATGAAGCACATGGATGAAATTAACAGCTTTTCTCCCCTCTTTTGCCCTCCCACAGTTGTGCTGATACCCCAGTGTTTCTTGCTAAACCATCAATCGGATTTTTCACAGATTATGAAGTTGGGCCAGTTTATGAGGTAAAAATCTTATTTCTTGGGGCACCTGGGTGGCTCAGCACGTTAAGCTTCTGACTCTTGATCTCAGCTCATGTCTTGATCTCAGGGTTGTGAGTTCAAAGCCCTGTGTTGGGTTCCATACTGGCCACAGAGCTTACTTAAAACAAAAATCTTATTTCCTTACAGCTCCCACTTCATCAGCTTCCTTATTTTTTTAAAGTGGTTCATGGAATTTTAAAACTATATACAAAATTAGGGAGAAGACTATGGTAAGCTTTTCCTTATTTCTTGAGGTACGCCTGTATTGCTGTATGTTTCCCTCTTAGAACCACTTTCACTGCATCCCAAAGATTTTGGACCATTGTGTTTTCATTTTCATTTGTCTCAGTCTATTTCTTTTATTTCCTCTTTGATTTCTTCATCGTCCCATTGGTTGTTTACTAGCATGTTATTTAGCCTCCACGTGTTTGTGTTTTTTCTAGCTTTTTTCTTGTAATTGATTTCTAGTTCTGTACTGTCATGGTTGGAAAAGATGCTTAATATGACTTTACTCTTCTCAAATTTATTGAGAGTTGTTTTGTGGCTTAACATGGGCTCTATCCTGGAGTATGTTCCATGTGCATTTGAAAAGAATGTGTATTCTGGGGCTCCTGGGTGACTCAGTAAGTTAAGCATCTGACTTTGACTCAGGTCATGATCCCACAGCTTGTGAGTTCGAGCCCTGCGTGGGGCTCTGTGCTGACAGCTCAGAGCCTGGAGTCTGCTTCGGATTCTGTGTCCCCCCCCCTCTCTCTCTGCCGCTCCCCTGCTTGTGTTCTCTCTCTCAAAATAAATAAGCATTTTTAAAAAGTCCTCTACTATTATCATATTACTGTCAATTTCTCCCTTTATTTCTGTTAATATTTGCTTTGTATATTTAGATGCCCCAATATTGGGTATATAGATATTTACAATAGTTATATCCTCTTATTATATTGATCCCTTTATCGTTATGTAATGCCCTTCTTTGTCTCTTGTTACAGTCTTTGTTTTAAGGTCTGTTTTTCCTGATATAAGTATTGCCACCCTGGCTTTTTTTTTTCTTGCTTCCATTTGCACAGAATATATTTTTCCCTTCCTTAACTTTCAGTGTGTATGTGTCTTCAGATCTGAAGTGAGTCTCTTGTAGGCAGCATAGAGAGGGGTGTTGTGTTTTTTTTTAATCTATTTGTCACCCTGTGTCTTTTGATTGGAGCATTTAGACCATTTACATTTAAAGTAATTATTGATAAGTCTGAACTTACTGTCATTTTGTTAATTGTTTTCTGGTTATTTTGTAGCTCTTTTCTGTTCTTTTCTTCTCTTGCTATCTTTCCTTGTGATTGTTTTCTTTCATGTTATGCTTGGCTTTCTTTCTCTTCGTTTTTTTGTGTATCATAAAAGATTTTTGATTTGTGGTTAACCTGAGGTTCATATATAACATCCTAAGTATATAGCAGTCTATATTAAGTTGATGGTCACTTAAGTTTGAATACATTGTAAAAGAACTTCATTTTTACTCTCCCCTCCACATTTTATATATGTTACCATATTTAACATCTTTTTATTTTGTGAGTCCTTAGCTAATTTTTTTAGATATAATTGATTTTACTTCTTTTGTCTTTTCAACTTCATACAAGCTTTATAAGTGATGACTCCACTACCTTTACTGTTTGCTTACTATTACTCCTAAATTTTTTTCCTCTCATAATTTTATTTCTAATTATGACTTTTTCTCCGCTCAAAGAAGTCCCTTTCATATTCCTTCTGAGGACTATTTGGTGGTGATGGACTCCTTTCACTTTTGTTTTTTCTGGGAAGCTTTTTATCTCTCCTTCAATTCTGAGTGATAACCTTGCTGGGTAGGATAGTCTTTGTTGTACGTTTTTAACGTTCAACATTTTGAATATGTCATGCCACTCCCTTCTGGCCTGAAAAGTTTGTGCTGAAAAATCAGCTGATAGGCTTATGGGGTTTCCTTTGTAGTGACTGGTTGCTTCTCTCTTGTTGCTTTTAAAATCCAGTCTTTATTTTTAATCTTAGACATTTTAGTCATTACATGTCATGGCGTGGACCTCCTCGGCTTCGTCTTGTTTGGAACTCTCTGTGCTTCCTGAACCTGGATGTCTCTTTCTTTCCCCAGTCTGGGATATTTTCAGCTATTATATCTTCAAGTAAATTTTCTGTCCCTTTTTCTCTTCTCTTTCTGGGACCCCTATAATGTGAATATTTGTTCACTAGATGTTGTCTGAGGGATCCCTTAACCTGCTCTCCTGTATCTTTTTCTTTCCTTTTTGCTGTTCAGCATGGTTGCTCTCCATTACCCTGTCTTCCAGATTGCTAATCATTCCTCTGTATCTGCCAATCTGCTGTTGGTTCTCTCCAGTGCATTTTTCACTTCGGTTATTGTATTCTTCAATTCTGGTTTCTTTTTATATTTTCTTTCTCTGGGTTGAAGTTTTCACTGAGTTTCTCCACCCTCCTCTCCAGCCTGGTGAGCATCTTTATGACCATTACTTTGAGCTTTTTGTCAGATGCATTGTTTATCGCTGTTTCATTTAGTTCTTTTTCTGAGGCTTTGTCTTTTTCTTTCTTTGGCACGTATTCTCGTCTCATTTTGCTTGACTTTCTGTGTTTGTGTGACTTAGGTGGAACAGCTGCTTCTAAACTTGAAGGGATAATCTTGTGTATGGTTGTCCTCTGTGTAGATGGTGTGCGCCTGGCGACTGTCAAGTGCAGGAAGGCTGGCAATGCTGGCTTCATCTTTGGCCCTCCATCGTGTTCACGTTCGTCAGGTGACCGCTCTCGGGGCTACGTGTTCCAAGCCCCCTGGAGACTAATATATACACGTTAGAAATGCCCACCAAGGCTGGGATGGAAGGAAGCTTGCTTCTGTTAGAGATCTGTTAGAGATAACATAGTCTTTTTCCTTCCTTCCCCCCCACCTCTGCTTTCCTTTAATTTTAAAGACAGAGAGAGCAAGTGGAGGAGAGGGGCAGAGGGAAAGAGAGAGAGAGAGAGAGAGAGAGAGAGAGAGAGAGAGAGAATCTTCAGCAGGCCCTATGCTCAGTGCAGAGCCCGACGTGGGGCTCAATCCCACCACCCTCAGGATTTTGACCTGAGCCAAAATCAAGAGTCGGGTGCTCAACCCACCGAGCCACCCAGGCGCCCCAGTCCTGATGTGCAGGTGGCACCATGAGATCTAATTAAAGGCCAGCTATCAATTAGGTGTATGCAGACCCTTTGAAGCGCATGTGAACCCTTTGATCTCACTACAGTGCCCTTTTGCACACCCCTTCGCTTTATAAAATCTGTGGGCTAAGGTCCAGACATTGTGGAAAGTAGCCATGTGGCAGCTGCCTGAATCATTGGCCCCCGGATTCCCCCTGTCAGTAAGTGACCCTGGATAAAACTCTATAAATTGCGTGGGTTCACCTGCTTTGTCTTCTGGTCACAAAGCGCCTTCTCAGTTTGGAAGATATTTTACTGTCCCTTCCCCAACTTCTCACAGGCTGGCTGGTCAGAGCTGTGGCTGTCATGGGCAGGGGGTTCTGGGGTACTCCATGCTGGAACTGTCCTGGGGAGATGGCTGGAGCTGAAGTCGGTGCCGTCTGGGGGTGGTCCTGGAACTCTCTGTGCAGAGGGCACCCTGGCAGGACGGCTAAAGGTGAAGTGGGTACAGGCTGAGATGTCCCAGGGCGTCTGCACAGGAGTGCCCTTGGGGGCATCTGGAGCTGAAGCAGGCACGGACCAGGAGACCCTGGATGGCCCAGGAAGGGGCACCCCTGCGAGGTGGCTGGAGCTGAGGCATGGCATGGGCTCGAGTTTCCTAGGATACTCTGCACAGGAACACCCTGGTGGGGCAGCTGGAGCTGAGGTGGGCATGGGCCAGGGGGTGCCAGGGTGCTTTGTGCCGGGGGTGACCCAGCAACTCTGGCACAGTGGTGGTGGCAGCCTGGGGTGTTCCGGGATGCTTTGCATTTGTGATGGCTGGAGTTGCAGTGAGCGCTGACCAGGGGTGTCTCAATACGCACTGTGTTGGGGCCGCGGTGGTGGGATAGCTGGGGCTCATATGTGCTAGGGGAGGTGGCAGGCCAGCTCTGGTGCCCAGACCCTGCTCTTGGCTGTGTAATTCGGCTGGCGGAGGAGTGCTAGCCAGCCGGAGAGTTTCAGCGGCTCCCACTGTCCGGCAGAGTCCTAAGGCTGGATCCTTTATATTCTAGTTGCCCTGTTCAACTACTGCTTTTTTTTTTTTAACTGTGCCTTCAATATCCTCCCTCCCTGCTGCAGTTTGTGGCATTGGGGGTAGGGGTTCCCGCTGTGACTGTTCCCCATCTCTCTTGCCGTTCTCTGTGTGGTCTCTCTGTCTCCTGTCGTGGAGCAGCCGTTCAGTTGGCCCTTCTTCAGGAGGAATTTCACTGTAAATAGGTGGAGGGTTAGAGCGTCTGTGGAAGAGGTGAGTTCTGGGTCTTCCCACGTTGTGGGCTTGGACCAGAAGCCCCTCAGCCTACTTTTTAAGGAGGCCCTTTATTTGTTGAAGCTGTGGTTTCATAAATCCTGGATTTGGCTGATTGTATCATTGTGGTGACACAAAACACGTTCCTTTGTTCCTATTTCTATAAACTTAGAGTTCTATGTAGACATTTGATTAGATTCACGTTCAGTTTTTTTTCTTTTCTTGGCAAGAATAATACTTTGGTGGTGCTATGTATTTCTTATTATATCCCATCCGGAGGCGTGTATCTGCTTTTCCTATTACCAGGAAAGAATGGTTTTGGGTGCTGCGAGCCTGAACCGTCATTTATGAAGTTTTTATCAACCTTTCTTGTAGTGGCCTTAGAAGCCTTAGATGATTATTACCTAGATCCATTTTTTTTTAAACAAAATTAAGGGTTATAAAATGGTGAGTTCTAATTCTGTTACTCCTTCTGCATTTATTGGCTGTGATTCTCTATTTAAAAAGATACCTTCTGGGGCGCCTGGGTGGCTCAGTCGGTTGAGCGTCCGACTTCAGCTTAGGTCATGATCTCACACTCTGTGAGTTCGAGCCCCGTGTCGGGCTCTGTGCTGACAGCTCAGAGCCCGGAGCCTGCTTCAGATTCTGTGTCTCCCCCTCTCTCTGCCCCTCTTCTGCTCATGCTCTGTCTCTCTTTGTCTCAAAAATAAATAAAAACATTTAAAAAATTTAAAAAATATAAAAAGAAACTTTCTTTCACTTCATTCTCCTTTCCCCTCTTCCTTATGCTCTCCTTACCCGACAAGTAACTATTTTCATTAGTTTGCGTTCTTCCATTGTTTCTTTTTGGAATCATAAGCAAATATATGGATGTACTTGAACCCCCTCTCCTTCTTACTGTCCTCTGCACCTTGCTTGTTTCACTTAACAGCATATACAGTGATCCCTCTGAGAGTAGTTATAGGGACTCTCCTGATTCCTTTTCCCTAGCCTCCTTCATTTTCATTCTCGCCTCCACCATCCTAGGGAATCAGACTGAGACCCAGCTTAGTAGCCGCCAACTCTGCTCACCAGATGCAAAGACTGCCAGGCCTAATCGTGGCAAGTTCTTTCACACACATGTGTATTGTACTTTAGAGTTCAAAGAGCAGTCCATTATTCTTTATGAGCTCTCAAGCACCCAGGGCAAAAGCGGGCAAACATGTCAGTCTTATGTGTTAAATGTTAAAGCAATTTAAAAAAAAAATTTTTTTTTTAATGTTTATTCATTTTTGAGAGACAGAGACAGAGCATGAGCAGGGAAGGGGCAGAGAGAGAGGGAGACGCAGAATCCGAAGCAGGCTCCAGGCTCTGAGCTGTCAGCACAGAGCCCGACGCGGGGCTTGAACTCACAAACTGTGAGATCACGACCTGAGCCGAAGTCGGGCACTCAACCGACTGAGCCACCCAGGCGCCCCAGTGATTTTTTTTTTTTTTTTAATTCCTTAAATGTAACAGTGATATATTCTCTTTTGGACCTCTGTGTCTGGTCATCAGATTTCAAGGACAGTTGCAGAAGTTGGCAAAGACTCCAAGAAAGGGGGTAAAAATAATTTCAGTTGGGGGGTGGAATAGGGCAGAGAAAGAGCTGCTCAGGGCCGTGTGACAGACCCTTATGCAGGACTGGAAGGTGCCATCTGTGGAAGCCTGTAGATGAGGTGGTCACAGACTGCCGTGGACCAGTCCTGCCTCCTGCCTTTGCCTGGTCCTCTAGGGCTCATCCCTTTCCTATTGCTGAGTTGTCACTTCTCTGGAAAGTCACCCTGACCTTTCCCGACTGGATTAAATGTCCTGATTGCAGGCCCTTTCCCACCATTTGCTCTTTGGTGGCACAATTTTATATTTATCTTTCCCACTAGACTGTAAGCCCAACAAGGGCAGGAATTATTTCTAGGCTTGCGTTATTTTATTTTCAGTGCTCAGCATATAGTAGTTCCTCAGTAAATATGTATGGACTAAATTACATAAATACTCAATATGGGTCTACTTCTTGGCCTTGCCTACCCCTGATAAATCAAGAACAAATAAAAGGTGTCATATTTTACTAAAAAAAAAAGCCAAGTGTGTGTGTGTGTGCAGGGGAGAGAGAAAATAACTTATAAGGCATTTGATAAGTTAGTGAATAACAGCCCACAAGTGGATTAGTAAGGTATTTATTCCTTTAGAACATTGCAGGGTGCCTGGGTGGCTTAGTTGATTAAGCATCCGACCCTTGATTTCGGCTCAGGTCACGATCTCATGAGTTCGAGCCCTGCGTCAGGCTCTGTGCTGACAGTGCGGAGCCTGCTTGGGATTCTCTGTCTCCCCTTCTCTCTGCCCATCCCCGACTCATGCTGCCTCTTTCTTTCTCGCTCTCTCTCTCCCTCTTTCTCACAATTAATGAATTTAAAAAAGAAGGTTGCTAAGGATGAAAAAATGTTTAAATATATGGGGATGTATATGTATAATAATGTTAAAAATTAAAGTACAACATAATATGACTGTGTAAAATCGAGTACATGTGGCTGGAAGGAGCCACCCATGGTACACAAAGAATCATACATAATTAGTACATTTCAGAGAAGAATTTATGGTTATAAGTTTTTCATAAACTTTATATTGATGAAACATCTTAAATTTTAAAAATATATGGATGAGAATTAGGTTTTTCACTGTTGCAGAAAGAAGTTACAAATAAGGAAAGGGAGTGCTAGAATCAGCTCTTGGGTGCTGGGTTGTAGTCAGAGATACAAATAATGGATTTGTGGTTTCGAAATGTGTTTATGTATTACACATACAGGTGGATACATACAAGAATAAATATAGATGTGTGTGAATGCATAAGTTAGTACACTTGAATGTATTTCCTAGTTGCAGCTACCGAGAGGAACAGAAATCGTGGCATCCTAGCAGCACTTAGCATACCTAGTGTCCACATCTTGGTTTCTAAGTACCATTCTCCAATAAAAGGCACTAGGGCTCTTTGGTACATTAGTTAATTCCAGGGCTGAGACAGGGGAAATATGTGACCCTAGAACATCTTGTGGTGCCATAAGGTGTAAGGAAGTGATGAGAGAAAGAAAAAGAGAGACAGGAAGAGGGGGCATATCAAAAGGACACAGAGCTCTCAATGGCCAAAGTTGAAACATTTCAAACAACAAAATAAATGATAATGGTATTCAGATTGTAACCCAAAGAATAAAATAAAGTCCATGAATTCATACTGAATAAGTAAACATCTGAATAAATAAATGGAGGAGAAGGGATGACTCTTTGTTACGGAAGGATTCTAAGTTAGTTTAAAACATTTTTGTAATTTTAAAGTAATCTCCATACCCAGTGTGAGACTTAAACTCACAGCCCCGAGATCGAGAGTCGCAGGCTCCACCAACTGAGCCAGCCAAGTGGCTCAGAATAATTCTAATTAATACATAGAAAGAATGAAAGAAATAAAAAAGTTACCATTAAATATCACACTGATAAAATCTGCAGGCAGGATATACCAATAGATGATGAAATTGGGGGTAAAAGTTTTAGCAGAAACAGATGATTGCATAGTCTCTCCCCACATACTTTGTAATTACAAAGGAAAAATAGTAACTGTGCCATGGCAAATCATGGCAGATAGGACTTTGACCAAATGATTAATTTTAACATCACTGCTAATACGTATCATATACCTCCAATATGACATAGTGAGAAGGGCACATCACTTGTATGATATTCTTGTAAATAATGCATAACCTCAATGTAATCATGAGTAAACATCAGACCAACCCAGCTGAAGACCATTCTAGAAGGACACTGCGCAGAATAACTGACCAGTGCTCTCTAAAATGCTTAAGGTCATGGACAACAAGGAAAGACTAAGGAACTGTCACAGATCCTAGGAGATTAAAAAGACATGGGAACCTAATGGAATTTCAAGTTTTGGATTTGATCCAGCAATGGAAAAAGGAAGTTAGTGGACAAATTGGAAAAGTTTACATAGATTCTTACTTTAGTTAATATATTGTAACAAGCTTAATTTCTTAGATTCGATCATAGTTCTCTTGTTATGAAAATGTTAACATAAGGAGAAGCTGAGTGAAGACCATATGGGAATTCTCTGGATTATTTTTTACAACTCTTATAAGTCTAGTATCTCAAAACCAAGTGTTAGAAACATACATGTATTAGGCAGATTTCCAGTTGTGGCTGTATTATAACTAGATAACCTGAAGAATAGGAATCTACAAGAAATGAAAATTCTAGAACTGAAATTACTCAATGGAAGGGCTTACCAGCAAATTAGACACAGATGAAGATAATACTTACAGGGAGGTCAGTAGAAATGATCCAAACTAAAACACAAAGGGAAAAAAGAAGAAAAAATACAGAAAGTGGCATTTAAAAATATGGGACCTAGTAAGCAGGTCTATTGTGTAATTGGGAGGAGAGAGAGCATGGGGGCAGCAGCAGGGTTGGAAAACTTAGTGGATGACAGTGACCAAAAAGTAATGAAGACATCAAGCCATAGAGCAAAACACTAACAACCCTAAGCAGAGTAATATAAAAGAAAATCATACCCAGGCATATTATAGTAAAATTCTGTTCTAAACCAAAGAAAAGGTAGGGGAAACCCAAACTTAAAGCATCTGGAGAAAAAAGACCCACCACCTTCTAATGGGAATGTTTGAAGCTAGCAAATACTTGGAAGCTTCAAAGTGATGAAAGATAGTAACTTTCAATCTAGAATTCTAAACCCAGTGAAAATATTCTTCAAACATTTCAACGATAAGTTGGGATGCTTGGGTGGCTCAGTCCGTTAAGCATTCAGCTGTTGGTATGGGCTCAGGTCATGATCTCGCGGTCGTGAGATCAAGCCCTGTGTCAGGCTCTACGCTGAGCATTGAGCCTGCTTGGGATTCTCTCTGCAACCCCCCACTCATGCCCTCTCCTCCCTCCCTCCTTCCCTCTCTCTCTCTCTTAAAAATAAATAAATAAACTTAAAAAAATGAAGATAAAATGAAATTCTCAGATGAAAACTGGTAATTCACTATCAGATAATGATAATTCCATCACCAGAAGATCTACACCAAAGGAATTTTTAATCAGAAGAAAATGACACTCATATGGAAGCAGAGAAATGCAAGAAGGAATGAAAAGCAACAATAATTACATGATATGTAAATGGACCAGGTACCCCAATTAAAAGAGAAGGACCTTCAGACTGTGAATAAGAACAAAAACCAACTAAATGCTGCTTATATGAGATAACCTTAAAAGTGAGGGTACAAAAAGATTGACAATATAAGGAGGGATAAAGATACATTAAATTTTATGCACAAGAAAGGTGGTGTGGATTTACTAATATCAGAGAAGGCGAGAAGCATTAATAGAAAGGAAAAAAGGACATTTCATAGTGGACAAAGGTTGAAAAAAGTCCATCCAAGAGATACTATTTAAAATGTGTACACACAAATGGTTTAGCCTCAAAATGCATAAACAAAATTTTATAAGACTAGAAGAAAAACAGATACAATAACAAACATGTAGGAGATTTTAACATTTTTTTCTCTCAAAAACTTAAAAAGCAGCTAGACCCAAACAGTAAAGATATAGAAGAATCGAGCAATTAACAAACTGTGTCTAATTGAGTTATATATAACACTACAGCCAGCACTTGCAAAATGTATTTTCTTTTAAAAGTGCACATGAAACACCAAAATTGTCCATGTGCTGAATCATGAAGCAAGTATCAAAACATTTCAGGGGCGCCTGGGTGGCGCAGTCGGTTAAGCGTCCGACTTCGGCCAGGTCACGATCTCGCGGTCCGTGAGTTCGAGCCCCGCGTCGGGCTCTGGGCTGATGGCTCAGAGCCTGGAGCCTGTTTCCGATTCTGTGTCTCCCTCTCTCTCTGCCCCTCCCCCGTTCATGCTCTGTCTCTCTCTGTCCCAAAAATAAATAAACGTTGAAAAAAAAAATTTAAAAAAACAAACAAACAAAAAAACATTTCAAAGGACTGGGGTGCTTGGGTGGCTCCGTCAGTTAAGCATCCAAGTCTCGATTTTGGCTCAGGTGGTGTCTTGTGGTCTGTGAGG